TGGAGAACAGAATGGCTACCCACGTCAGTCTTTTTGCCTGGAGAATCCCATGGAGAGAGGAGCCTGGTGGGCTACAGTCCATGGGATTGCAGAGTCGGACACGGCTGAGGAACTAACACTTTCACTTTCATTTTGAATGGGATGATTACAGACTGTATATGGTTGGATGGCATCACTGACTCAATGGACATGAGTTTGAGCAAACTTCGGGAAAGAGTGGACAGGGAAACCTGGTGTGCTACAATCCATGGGGTTGCAAACAGCTGGACATGACTTAGCGGCTAAATAACAGCAATATTGTTTTTAGGGCTAAGTGTTTCCATCAACCTTGACTTAAATTTCATTACATGTTCTCCCCCCCTGATGAAGCTCTAAACTATTATAAAATTCTAATCACTTGACAAGTTTTTCCTAATAAAATTACTGAAGAATCTAAAACTGGACAAAACTTCAGAAACTGTTTAGCCTAGCTTTCACACTTTGTAGACAGGCAACTGAAAAACCAATATTACAGTAATATGACTAAAGTCACAAAGCAGTAGCAGAGTCTGGTCAAAAGCTAAGGCCTTTGTCTCTCAAATCTAGAAGTCTATCTCCTTCACAACTGCATTGTATTCATTCAACTCAATCTATACATGTAACCCAACGGAAGACATAATACCCAGTGCCTATAGAAAGACATTAAAGTAGATATATTTAGAATTACATCTCATGAAAATATTACTACTAAAAATGTGCCTCATTTTTAAAGGAGTCATAATAAAAATGGAATACCACAAAATAGCTGGCTAAAACATGCTTCTATTTTTAAAGTATCTTGGTTTGTGTATGCATTTATACTTATCTTTAAAACAGGAAAGAATCGTCTCTGAATACAAACTCTTATGAAAAAGAACCACTTGCTTGTATCAGCATTCATTTAGTAGTAGTAGAAACTGCTATAGTAAATACAAGAGATGGGAGGACAAAAACAATTCCAAGAGATCAGGCATGATTTAAAACTCATAAGCTGAAATCTTTGGCAGTTTGCATTCTAACTGCAGGCATCACATGATATTTTAATTCTAATATTCTGGATAACATTTTAGGACTGAATTCAATAAACAAATGTTCAAAGATACTTAGTTCATCTTTGCAGTTTATTACTGTAGCTATTCAAATGATGAAAGATTATGAGATAAAATACTGCCTTCAATATAAGATGTTAGGTGTCAGATTATATAAAATATTAATTTCAAAATTGCTTGTCCACTTTAATTGATAAATAGAAAAGAGCTATTCATTAAGCTCTATGAGCCATTTAGGTATTTATATAATCAACCTTTGCAAAACCAAAAAAAAATAGTAATAATTTAGAACAAAAGGCAAAAGATGCTTGCAAAATTTCCTTTAATAATAACTGAGTCTGATGCAAATGAATAACAAGAAAGGTTACCAATGAAGTCAAGCCATATCTAGTTTCCGAAAACACATTTGTTTTGTATTAAGGGTGCACTTCACTTAATGGAGTTATCTAACTTTAGCAAAGCTAAAGAAAAGATAGGACATTTAAAAAATTAGTTCAGAATTAAATTAAAATCATTATTGGAATACTTTTTGTTAAGCTGCAGAAGTGTGGGGATGTACATGTTTTCCAGAATTCACTACATTTTCCTATAAATGTTTATTGCAAATATCATTGCTAATAGTTACTGTGTAATTTCAAACAAACAAAAAATTTGTGAAGTGAAGTTGAAGCATGTCACCCTTCTAAAGTAGTAATAACTTTAGTTAGTTAGGACTCACTTAGACAAAGAGTAATTCTAATGAGTGTGTCATTATGAGAATTAAGAGTAAAAAAACTTTGTAACCTGCCAGATCAATATTTCTTTTTACTTCTTGAAGAATACGGGCAACTTTTACCAGGAGTAAAGTGTTTGAGAATAGCTTAGAAACACCCAGTGAAACCAAAAATGTTGAGTACTCTCAGGTTTATAAATAACTTCTTTTTTTTCAAAGTAAATACATGTATATTTTGGAAAAAATAGACATCATTCATATCTCTCCTCATAAAAATAGGAATGCTTAACCTATCAGCCTGTTGCATTTGAGACGTTAAAATGAAAAATGACATCTACGCCCATTAATATCTTCAATGTATAAACAGCACAGCGTGACACATTCTTGAGAGCTGAAGGCTACAAAATCTCTCTGAAACATAAATAACAAAGCACTCAGAAGCATATTTGATGTTGATATTCATCTCTGAGAAAAACACTGCTGCCTAGGCTTCTTATGAAAATAGATGCAGCCCAAATGGATCTCCTGTAATTGGTTTCAGATAGCGAGGTCAGAAGAAATATGATACAAGAAACGATTATGTGGAACGGGCGAAACAAGAATGTTTACACAGGCACTCCCTACTTAAACTGACAAGGGGTGTATACTTTGCAGATAACCAGAACCAAAAAAATTTTACCAGTAGGATACCTAGAATTTTGCTCCTCATACTCACATATTTTAACCTTTAACATATGACATTTTTAACATGTTACTTTGAATACTCAGCATATAGTAAGTTTTCAAACAATTTCATTTTTAAATTATTTTC